ATGGGGACGCCTTCGGCATCGAGTTCGCAGGGGAGAAAGAAGAAGACTGCTAGGTGGCACGATACCTCCTGTTTTTGGTACAAGGAGGAAGGGCATAGAGTCGTAGACTGCCCATAACTTMTTGAGGATAAGGCCGAGGGGCGCGTTGCGGAGTTCAACAGCAAGTTYGACGACAGGCAGGGCAGGATAGTAGAGCGAGCTCCAGATGGGGGCAGGGCTCAGTTGTATAGGCAGAACCAGGAGGAATTATGTAAGTGGGGGCTGGTCTGTCTGTGTGTTAGTAGGGTTAGGACAGTGCGCACACAGGGGGBGGGTTGGGGGTATACATATATTTACTTGGCTAAGGGGGCCCTATATGTGTGCACGTTTTAGAGGTAGTAGGATGAGTCCTTGCCTGTTTGTACATATATAGTTGATTGAGGTTTTTTCTGAGTTTTTCTTTCATAGGCTACGACTTAGGGCATGAGGGTCGGCCGTAGGATACATGGGGCTAGTCAGTCCACTTTTGATTTCGCAGTGCGGAGACTACTTGGGCTTGAGAGAGGCTTGGGTATGAGTCTTCCCTAGTTAGATGAGGCAGAGGGCTAGGCACCCGTTAGATTTTGAGTAGATGTTGTGTCCCCGAGCGCGTTCCGTGGGTGTACAGTGGGGTCGGGAGCCATGCTCAGGTGGACAAAGTTTGAATTGAGTGTTTGTGTTTGAGTCTTGAGGCAGGGATTTTACTCCCTGAGTGTATTATGAGTTGAGCTTCTATGGGACTTGTCTTGTGACGACCACTATCACTCTCACATGTGTGGATTTATCATGATGTATGATTGGCTTTGTGTGAGAGAAGTACAGGAACCCCTTACGAAGTAAGAGTGGGTACAAGTTGAGTGGTATGGGAAGCATTGTTTGTGTTGATGAAGTCTGACGAGAGGGAACCATGTTTGGTTGAGATGTTTGAAAAGGGCGAGAGATGTCTCAGGATGGGCGACTGCTGGTTTTGATCAAGTCAGGAGCCGCGACCTTGTGGATCCGGCGGAGAGGTTGTTTGTGGTTGAGTGAAGGATGCCGTGCTTACTACGGGAGAGCCGGTAAATGCCTTCAAGCCCCTGCGTAGTCCTGCAGTGGCCTGTGAATTGTTTGTGATGCCCCGCCTGGCCACCTGTGCTAATTCTGAGACATATTTAAAAGGAATACCAAGCTAACTGTAAAGTTTAGTGCCACCTGGGCGCAACCCCTAGTGGATGGCTGTTAGCTGGCACAATCTGGCTGCGGGCCTGCAAGGTGAGAGTTTAAGGGGAGTTGCCCGCCCCAGGGAAATTATCGTACGAGATAAGAGGTGAGTCTTTTGGAAGCCCTGATTGATTGATTATCAGGGACATACTTGCCATTGTATAACCAATGGGAGGATATTGCCACTAAGTGATGGTGAGGAAATTGCTGAAAGAAGGGAAGGATGCCTTCACAGGTCCCATTCAAAGCCCGCGTCCCTAGTTATGGCTCTGTCTACGAGAAAGAGGCTAACTAGGACACCCAACGAGAGGCCGGCGGTTGTCTAGGACAAAGGGGAAGAGGATGGTTTGAGGGCCTTTGGAACTTATGTTGTAGTATTGATGCGTAATACACCGGCGTCCTGGTGTTGGGACAATGGAAACTCAGGTTGAAACCCTGACAGCATATAGTTGTGTTGGCACGGTTTGATGGGGGCCTCACCCCTGAGTCTGTCGGCTAATCGGATTGGCTCTGATCTCGTCAGCATCTGGAATGTGAGAAAATTTATAGTTTTTTTATTTGGCGACGCGACGGGGATGTCGCTTAATATGGTCCGGTAAGCTGTCGGCGCGAATACCCTTACAAGGGTATCCGCCCTGGTTTTTGCAAGCGACAGAGAGGCTCCGATAACCTGGATTTTGAGTGCCCGTGCGGAAAAATGTGGGGGTCGTCTGCGCACGGGGAAAGGTCTGTCTTGTCCCAGTAGGGAGTGCGTGGGCGCGCAATTTTGAGGTGCACGGGTGATTTCTTTTGGTTGAGGTAGGCGGCCGGTCTGGCTGACCGGCCCGGACCATGTTGCGGGTTTGATTAGGGGTGAAAGTCTGTATTTTTTCTTGTTATTGGCCGGGGTGCGCGACC